TGTAAAGCTACATTGACAGAATCTTGCAAGTCTGAAAGGACAATTTCCCTCCCCCCCATCTCCTTTACAGCCTGAGAAATTAGGGAGGTCCCTTCTGAGCCTCTTTCTCCTCCCATTATGCAGCTGTGGGCTGTGCCCTCTGTTATCTGGCCATTCCCAGGTGGACCAGACAGGAAACATGACCAGATGAGCTAATTCTACTTTATTGTAAAGCTACATTGACAGAATCTTGCAAGTCTGAAAGGACAATTTCCCTCCCCCCCATCTCCTTTACAGCCTGAGAAATTAGGGAGGTCCCTTCTGAGCCTCTTTCTCCTCCCATTATGCAGCTGCGGGCTATACCCTCTCTTATCTGTCCATTCCCTTGACAGCGTCTCTTCCCCCTTCTCCCAAGATCTTTCTCACATACTATTACACTAACCAAAGTTAACACTAAGATTAAAAATCAAGTGAACTCAGCCAGTCGTCCTTGCATGACCTGGTTAGAGGCACCTCGTGTGGATCCAGCCATCCAATGCTTTCCCTTGTTTTATGTGTAGCAGGCGCTACTGTCCCCACATTGGGCTGGGAGCTTCCTCTTCCTGACTGTCTGTAGAGTAACTGCCCTTGTTGATGGCAGACCAAGAGGCCATGGGTTCTGAGAGGGGTCCCTTGGTTGGATTCAGTCTATCTTCCCAAGAGCTGGGAGACTGTCCTTGGCTGGAATGGGCTCAGGAAGAGACGGGAGGACCATCTGCTGGAGGTGCTGCCTTTGGAATGCAGGGGATGGACTAGAAGGGTCAGGGTAGTTGGTTAGGCTGTTTTCTAACTCTAGGATTTATGAATCCTTAAGCAATGCCTTTGAAGAAATGTTCCAGCTTCCTGTCCTTGGAAGCATTCTGACTGAAATTCCAGAAAGGTGCCACCAGTCAGGATGGGCATGCCTGTCAACAGCCTCCCAACTTCACCACGGCTGTTTGGCTTCCTTTCATCTTTAACTGGAAAACAGGGCATTTTGAGCAAACAGAGATCGGCTTGCTTTACACATGGCACCAAGCCGGAAAGATGGCTTATTTAGAGTTCACCTTATACATAAACCCAGATATATGTTTGGGAAAGCGGGTTGCCCTGCTTAATACAGGTAGCCCTGCAGAATCTTGCAAGTCTGAAATACGATCCTCCCACGCCCCCCGTCTCCTTTACAGCCCAAGAAACTAGAGAGGGTCCCTTCTGAGCCTCTTTCTCCACCCATTATGCAGCTGAGGGATTTGCCCTCTCTTATCTGACCGTTCCCTTGGCAGCAACTCTTCGCCTGTCTCCCAAGGTCTTTCCCACATATCATCACGGCTTTGTTCTTATTTCTGGGGAAGACATTACAAAGTCAGCTACGGTGCAACAAATGAATGTACCCAAAGCATTCAGGGCGCCCATGTGAGCCAGCCTCCGGGTGGGTAGAAATAAGCAAGCTTTTGAATATCACTGAGCTCTGCTGCTGGATGAAGAGTTCTGGGAAATTGGGTAATTGGCCTCTCTTATCACTAGTCTAAACAGAAATCAAGTAACTGATACAAGAGGACGTCTCAGAGCGTGGATAGATGTCTCCGAAGGAACGCTGATTTTAACTAACAAAGACTGCATGACAAAGAACGACCCTGGGAACAGAAGGGAAATTTCTAGGCAGCTCTTGGTTTAGAAGCACAGCCATGGACACGCAGGCACCCGGCGACATGCAGCCACCTCCGAGATGCAACACGGCATGCAGGTGGTTGGACGACAGCTACCAGGACCTTGGATTATCTGGACCTGGTTCAAGTTGGCTTCAAACCGGGGTCCGGTACAGAGAGAGCGCTGGTCGATGACTGGTGGAGCCAGGATGGGGCGGTGCATCCATTCGAGTGCTCCTGGATCTCTTGGGGGCTTTTGATACCGTTGACCGCGTATTCTTCTGGACCGGCTATGCCGGTTAGGAGTGGGAGGCACCGTGCTCCAGTGGGTCACCTTGTTCCTCGGCAGTCGGTTCCAGTTGGTGTTGATGGGGGGGAGAGATTGCATCCATGGCCCCTCGTGTGTGGGGTGCCTCAGGGCTCGATGCTCTCCCCTCTCCTGTTCAACATCTACATCAGTGTTTCTCAACCGTAGCAATTTAAGATGAGTGGACTTCAACTCTCAGAATTCCACAGCCAGCCTTGCTGGCTGTGGAATTCTGGGAGTTGAAGTCCACTCAACTTAAAGTCGCTACGGTTGAGAAACACTGGTTTAGTACGACAAACATGGCTTCTCATCTGAAACAGAGAAATGACTGTCGCTATATGAACCAGTCCAATATTTTATCCCACTTTCCCCAACCTGCTGACCCTAGGTGCGTTTGACCACAATTCCCATCATCTCACAGCTGACTGGCCAGCTGGCTGGGGTGATGGGAGGAAGGACACCACCATTTAGAAAACAGGCTACGAGGAGTAACCCCCCCACAAACAGAAAGTATCAATGTTGTCACGATGCATTGAATCCAACCATTTTATTCTATGCACATTTAAAAGATATATATTTGTGAACGTTTTGTTTTATTCCCTTGACTGCTGTGGCAGTCTAGAGGAATAAAAAACTGGAAGGAAGAAGAAAGTTATATGAAAATGGGGTAACAGTAGAGAAGACTTGCTTTCTTAATATGATATATAATATATAAGTACACCCACTTTTTCTCCCTGGGTGAATAAAAACAAAGGAAAGGCAAAACCAGCTCAAGGGCTGCATTCACACAACACTTAACCAGGTCACTGAATTAACCCATTTTGTCGACTGGAAACCCCTTACAGACTTTTTCACGTGAAACAGGAAAAAAAAATGAACTTACGATTGATGGTTTTGACAATCAGAAAGAAGAGATGATAGGAAAAAATAGAGCTATGTTGTAACCATAGAGCAGTGTTGTCCAAACTTGGCCACTTTAAGACAAGTGGACTTCAACT